AGCAGGAATAGCAGAGTCTGAAGGTACAGTCCCCAAGACCACCCTTAGTGGTTTTTTCTTTTTCTTTTTCTTTTTGTTTTTTAGCTTTTTCTATAGGGCATGTGCACCTGCCCAAGTGAGAGAGAGAGAGAGAATGAAAGCGAGAAGTCACAGCCCCAGGGAGACGGCCGCACTGCAATTCCTTCTCCTCTAGTCTCTTTTCAGGACCGTGGGCATGCGCGCACACACTCAGCATGATTTTCAACCGCCAGGTCTGGGACTGTGCGGCCGGCCATCTGGGATCCAGCACTTTAACCTCCATGCCACCTGATGGCCCAGACCCCCTCGGTTTGCTCACTCACCAGCAGGACTCACGGCCCTCACTGAAAACCATTGTTATACAGTTACGGCTTGTCACAGGGAAAGGGCGCGATCTAACTTAGCCTCAGGACCTTGTTCTCTGGGACCAGGTCTGGGAGGGTTTCGGCTTCCATCGTCCTCAGGACGCGGGGCTGTGCTGTGCTCAACGTGTGGCAATACACGTGGACATGGTCAGCCAGGGGTTTCCCCGCGTAGAGAAAAAGGGCTCTGCTATGTACTAAAACAGTAATGATGGGCCACTTCGTAGCTCAGTGGTTAAGCTCTGCCCCCTGGGGGCTGGCTCCCACATGACTGACCACAGTTCAAATCCTAGCCCTGGTGGCTTGAGAAAACATGCCAGGCATGTGCGCGTGTGCCCAAAGTCCACGGGAAGGAGAAGTGGAGAGACAAGGATTGCGGTGTGACCGTGTCCCTTTGCGATGACCTTTCTCTCTCTTTGGAGAGCACATGTGCCTTCTGGAAAGTTTTTTAAAAATGTAAGGAAGACTTTAACTGGGATTACTACAGTAGGGGACATATGTTGGGCTCAACTCTGGATATGGAAGAGACAGTGGGGGGTTTCTCGTTAATAAGCAGAGTGAGGGGGTCAGTAGATGGGACATTGTACGAGTAGGGGGTTCTTGTTAAACTGATCTAATGGAATTCTTCCTAATTCATTAGGTCAAGGACTAATTCGTCCAAGGTCGGGATGAACTTGATGGGCATCGAGGTTGAACTGATTCTCACTGAGCTAACTTAGTAGGGTCCTTGCTAAGACTGGGCAGTGCAGGCCCTGCAAAGCCAAGCGCAGCCATGGAAGGCAAGGTCAGAGCCCCGTCAAGAAGAAGCTCAGAAGAGCATTAACGGATTTCAGCCCAGAGAGGGCCTTTCAACGAATCCTCAGTGTGTGGAGTTATGTGTTTTTTTGAAGTTTGTTCGTGTTTATTTATTTTTAAGAATTATCTAATTTAACTTTTTTTATTTACCCATTTATTTGTTTGTTTAAACTTGACCAGAGAGGGTCAGAGTGAGTGAGAGAGAAAGTGAGAAAGCAAGCCGCCAGTTCAAAGCCTAGTCAAGAAGAGGTTCAGAAGAGCATTAACAAATTTCAGCCAAGAGAAGGATCTTTTCAACCCAATCCTCACTGTGTGGAGTTTTGTATTTTTGAAGTTTGCTTGTATTTAGTTTTTATTTTTAAGAATTATCTTATTTAACTATATTTATCTATATTTTGTTGGTTTAAATTTGACCAGAGAGGGATAGAGCAAGAGTGAGAGAGGGAAAATGAGAAAGCAAGCCACCAGGTCCGGGACTTGAACCAAGGTTGGCTAGGTGGGAGTCCAGTGCCCTTAATTACCATGCCACCTGCCGGCCCCCCCAACCCTATTTATTTATTTTTAAGGTTTTTGTCCTAAGGTCTGTGTCTTTGCAGGAGAGGAGAGAGACAGAGACAGTGAGAAGGAAAGTGAGAAATCACTCCTCAGGGGGTATGGCCACACTGCAATCCCTTCTCCCTTCTCTTCCAGGATTTGGGGCACACATGCCCATGTGTCTAGCGGGATTCTCAAGCCACTATGTCTGGGACTTGAACTGTAGTAGGTCATGTGGGAGTCCAGCACCTTAACTACCATGCCATCTGCTGGCCCCCACTGTGCAGAGCTTTTGTTGGCACGTGATCACACATTGCCCTAATGACTGACCCTAGACAAGCCCCTCTTGGTGGGGCTTGCCCATAGTCTCCAGTTCCCGTGGAGCTCTGAAATGACACCATGTAGTCCACGCCCCATCGTACATCACAGTGTTTCACGGTCTTGTGGCCAAAGCCTCCAGGCAAGCAAAGACACTCCCATCAGGCAAGACAATCCAGGGGCCTGGGGATCACTTCCCAGGAGCTCAGGGTAGAGGGAAGCTCTCTCAGGGGATAAAATTCGTTCTTTACTACTCAGATGCTCTGAATAAGGGTTCTGTGCCCCCGTCCACTTCTCCTGTCCATCTTCAGAATTCCCTCTCTATAGATACTTTGGTAGTGACGGCTTTCACCTGCCTTTGAGTTGAGAAAGCTTTGCTTTCTCTCTCTCTTTTTTTTTTTTTTGGCCAGAGGGCATGTATACTCACCAGAGAGAGACAGAGAGAGGGAGAGAGAAGAAAGCACTCCTCCCTATGGGGAATGGTCACACTGAAGTCACCTCCTTCTCTCCCCTTTTTTTTTGAGATTTTGGGTACCCACACCTGCATTCTGCATGTGTCTCACGGAGCTGAGTCCAGAACTCAAACTACATGGCTGGCCCTGTGGCTCCAGCTCCCTTAACCACCAAGTAATGGACTGGCCTAAGAAAGCACTTTTTATATTTTTTTGTTTTGCTATAGGTGCATGCACTTGCCAGAGAGAGAGAGAGAGAGAGAGAGATCACCCCCCAGGGGGCATGGCCACACCACAATCCCC